CTGCGCTGTATTATTGTTTTATTCTTTACTGATTCATGATTATGCTTTAATTGTTTTTTGTATTATTTGGATAATAGCAACGATTTCTACCGCCACCAAGGAGGTTATGTATTCACCGATGTCACTGTCTGGGTGTCTCTTCCAGTTTGTTTTTATATCTAGTATCTTTGTTGAGAATTGATAATAAAATATGCGACGACTTGGTAACGAAAGGTTGGCAGAAGTTTTTTTAGATCCAGCTGTAGGGGGCGTCCCATTTTTCGTATTCCCACCATGCATTTCGGTGGAACACGGTGGAACACTTTTTTTGTGTGGAGAACTCTATCTTGTATTTCTAGTATCTTTGATCCATCTTCCGATAAGTACAGGCCCCTCTGATGTGAGGATGATCGTATATAGAGGCGTGGACTAGCTCGTACAGTAACTTTCTTCTCCCCTAAGGGTCCCTTCGTGTCTGAGCTACCCAGTAGGCCTATATCGGTACCAGCTACTCTTGTGTGTCCACAAGAGGGGCAGTATGGATCAGTACACCGGGGTAACCCCCTACTCGTTTCGAAAGATGTACTGGGTTCTTTATAGTGCACGTGAGCCAATTGTACACTGGGCCTATCGGTTTATAGTCCTTATCCGAGAAGAATTGTTACACCACCTCCAGAACCATTAGGCGAGCGTGCCGTCCGAACCAACGCCGATATATCATGGCTGTACGTTGCGGCGCCCCTGCCTTGACCGCTCGGCCATTCGACTCACCTAATATGGTCATGATAAGGTAACATCATGACCATATTTTAATATCATAAATGTGGTTCTGAGGCGGTTGATGAAAAGCCACAGGGAGACTTATAAAGCAAAGATGAGTGCTTAGCTGAGGTGTACCAAACCACGGCGATGGATGTAATAAAGAGGGGCTGTATATATAGTTACTTAATTATTATTTGTTTCAGGTATTGGAGTGCGTTTGGATGCGTGACGTCAACAGCTAAAAATAGTCTTCAATCTAACTGTAATTGTAACCACACGACGAGTTTCGCAGTATTGATGAAAGTTACAAATGACAATGTGGTAGTAAGTGTACAGTTGTTATGTTTTATTATGTTTTTGTTTGAATAAATTTAATAAACTTAGCAAGTAATAGCTGATTTTTAATGTAGCACAAACCCATGGGCCTTTATGTGTTTTCGTAATGGAGGAGGCTGCGTACTATATAGGCCTACAGTGTTTTTTTAATACCCATTATACTACCGTAAAACCTCGAATTGAAGCCCAGTGGGCTTAATATCGAGGTGATTTAATGCCAGTTAAATACACTTCATAATACAGATTGATGTTACATTGACCTTATTTATTTGTTTAATTGTACAAAATCACAAATTTACAACATTCATTTTGAATCTTTATTCTTTACTTTAAAAAAATAGTCTCGAAAAGAAGCCCATCTCGAAAAGTAACCCATCTCGAAAAGAAGCCCATCCAAAGTTCGCAAAAAAAAAAAAAAAAAAAAAGAAGCCCAGGGCATCAATTCGAGGTTTTACGGTATTGTACTGTATTGTATTGTTATTATTAATATTATTATTATTATTATTATTATTATTATTATTATTATTATTATTATTATTATGCCTATTATTGTTATTATTATTATTAAGCCAATTATTATTATTATTATTAGGCCTATTATTATTATTATTATTATTATTATTGTTATTATTAATTATATATATTTTTTTCTCTGACTGAGCCTCATCAAACCACCCTTTCTTGGATAATTTTTCGCTCTCAATAGCTCTGGCTACCTTCTCTTATGTAGGGTACGTATTATAAAACATTGTGGCACCAGGCACCCTCTCCACTGAAGACCTGTCCTTTCTTCAAAAAATATGTTACGTCATTACATCCAACCCCAGGTCTAAAAGTAGATTAACACAGACAGCTACACTTCTAATTCCAAAAACATAACACAAAATAATCAAAACTGTTTATATAAAAAAGTAAGACTTAATCCTGGTCTCCATAAAATTATTACACCGCTCTCCTCGGCGACGCTGATTGGTTGGTCAAATCGGGGAACCCTCCAAAGTATAGCAATTGCAGTGATAATACTGTAGTGATTTATAGAAAAAGGCTTTAGATGATATGAGAACAAAACAAAAATAATCATTTAATTTGATTTAAATAATATCAACTTAATAACATCACAAAACAGGAACAACAGAATACAATTAAACAAAATTGAGAGCATAAGTCATCAATGTTGATATCCGCCGGCGTAACCCTCTAAATCCCAATAAAGAATTTATTTCCAGAGGGGTCCCAATATGTTCATTAGTTTGTATTGGTCTCTTTTGAGAAAGGGCGTTATGTTAATTTTTAATTCACATGAGAGCATTAGGTACAAGTGCAAGTGCTGCTTCACATCATTAACCAGAATAACTTCCTGTCTCACATCCTTAACCATAATAACTTGCTGTCTCATTTCCTTAACCAGAACATGGAGGAAAGAAAGCAGACCAGAATAACTTGCTTATATCGGAGCTTGTCTGACATCCTTAACCAGAATATCTTGCTTGTCTGACATCCTTAACCAGGATAACTTGCTGTCTCACATTCTTAACCGGAAAAACATGCTTGTTTCACACCCTTAACCAGAATAACTTGCTCATTTTAATTTTCTAAATACTATAGATTGAAAGAAAGACTCAAAACCCATGTTTGTTTGTGTGCGGCGCTTTTAGTTGCTGAACTGCTAATGTTGTGTGGTATCAATATGACGGAACCTCCAGTAAGCTCATAGGATTCATTATTGTAGACGTAGTAGTGCTACAGGCCTCGGTGGTAGCTTTTTAAGTACGACTATCTATAAGTAGCAGACTTGAACGTGTTCAAAAATTTGCTTTGAAAATTACATGTAAATCTTGAAAGAATCATATGCCTCTCTTTGTTTGAAGTCTAATTTGTTATCTATATAATCTATTTAAACACCTTAAAAACTATTATCCTCTTGATGTCTTGTTCATGTTTTTCTTTCTTTTGTGATGTTAGTCTGTACTTTAAGCTAAGAGGGATGCTAATTATTAGCCACTAGTCGATCGACTATGTAGCTATCTTGCCTTCCCAGGTTTTGTACCGAACTTTCATGGATAAATAAATAAATAAATAAAAATGGACAGATTTCATTAAAGTATAACGGTACGTGCAATTTAACAACGGTTTTACCTCACTTCCGCAAGAAAATCTACTATGGTTTTAGCCCATTGCTGAAACACACGGGAAAAAATGCTAACAAAATGAAATTGCTCTAGGACTTTTGAAGAATGCAAATTTAACGCACTCAAAACAAATATTAAAAGAATTTCATATACACTACTTTGTCAGTCAATACATACCTGCCTTAGGACTTTTGATGACGACAGGAGGTGTGTCTTCATCGAGGACGTCCAGGGCATTTGTAAACGTTTTTTCCATCGAATGAATAACATCTGAAAAGTCATTATCCTTGATAATGCAATAAAAAAAAATGGCATTAGTGATGAAAGCAGTTAACCGTTATGTTCTGTTACTAAACAGTGGGGACGCCATTATTTACCCGATGGTTTCCAATAATGTCCCCGACAGGGGTAGGGGGTGACGCCCGTGACGGGAAGGCCGAAGGGAGCATAGGATGGGCAGCCCAGAACCCTTTCATAGGGGTTCCGGGGGCGAATTCTTCCTTCTCAATGATTCGTTTTTTTTTTCTTCTCTCCGACGGAAGCCTGACGAATTTTGTTCTTTCCAACGGCAGAGAGGCTCCTCCCGACGAGAAGACTGTGGCCCCCTGGCCCCACCATTCTTACTAAAGGCCACTACACAACATTCACCAGCCTGTATATATCCTTTTTTGTAATTCTTGCATAATTAAGTATATTTCTTTTGCAGTTAACGACAGGCTTAATAAGAATAACATAGAATAAAATAAAAATAAATTCCAACAATTTTGCTTTACCTCTATCGTATCTATCGACAAGGTCTCGGATGATAATTCAAGATATTGCTGTAAAATACATTAATAATTTTATTAATAAAAAGAATATAATAGATAATATTATGTTATTATTATTATTATTATTACTAATATTATTATCATTATTATTATCATTAGCATTATTATTATTATTATTATTATTATTATTACTATTATTATTATTATTATTATTATTATTATTATTATTATCACCACTATTATTATCACTATTATCAATATTGTTATTATCACCGTCAATATTATATCATCATCATCATCATCATTATCGATATTATATTAGAGAATTGCTTATAATAGTATTATTAATATCATTACATTATCATAACAGTATTAGGCCTATAATACAATATTATAGTATTAAAAATATTTTGTATAATCACTTTCTATTCACTAACTGTATTACATTGCTTGAATACAAGTGTTTAAAAATATCTAAGTTAAGACCGCCATATGTTTCTGACCAGGGCTCTGGCAAAATATACCCTGCCGTAGTTGTCTCAGACCCTGGCAAACTAATATTGGGTCCCGGCTCGGACATCCCGTACTGGGGTACTTCCTACCCTAATGAGGACTAACATAATCTTACATCGAGTATGTCAATCGTTTCATTCTGTTCAGTGAAATTCAGGTTCGATATCTGTTGTACTACTTTAACAAACACTTTCACCACTTCTTGCTTGAACTCTGACGAGTCGTAAGTGTCGTACAAATCATTTCCAAGCGTTAGTATAGTATCTGCCTCTTCAACATTCAATTCCTCATTCTCATCAAGCTGAATAAATTCAATACCAAAGTAATTAATTACATGGTTAATTAAGATAATACATACAAACATGTTGAAAAGGCTATAATATTAATATTTATAATAATAGTAATAGTTAATATCTTATTAATAATAATATAGGCATATTATCAATTTTTTTAAATCTCGTATGATATCAGTTATGTCTAGTTGCTGTTATTAATTTGACTGGAACAGTCGTAGCAGGGTCACCAACGAGCTGGTTAACAGCATGACCCTCCCCATCATACTCCTGGGTGAGGAGAGAAAAACGTAAGTAAAGTGTCTTGCCCAAGAACACAATCAGTATGGCGAGCGTTGGTCTCGAACTCCTGATCTCTCGACCAGAAATCCAACAACTTATTACACGCTGCGCCATACGCTCCTACTATTATAAATAATAACATTAATAACACAATATATCAATAATACAAAAAAAATCTCTACAGGAATGTCCGTGATCCTAAAATTACCCACCGGCCAAAATATGCCCCTATAATAGGCTGTGTAAGATACCATTGCTATGTCTAAGCATGCACGACAGCACACCAAAATATTACTATATGCTTGATACTTCATGTGTTTGGTAGTAGTATCAGGTACTTTATCATAAATCAAGTATTGATCTCGAATTGATTATTTCTTCGTATACGACGATATTGACATTGAAATATACATTGTGGTGATTTTTATGATTATAGGCTGCTTGTTTTACGTGTCGTGTTACAAACCGTCAAGAATAATTATGTTAATATATGTTAATAGGCCTATATGTTAATATATACAGATGATGTTTGTAATTTTGTTTATTTATATAAAATATATTTACACAAGACACAATAGCAGACAAAATGTAACTGTCTGTTTGTTTTAAATGGTCCTGTTTCAGACAATTATCATAAAATATAAACATTAGTATAATGAATGTTCAAAAAAACAACATGACAAAACCCTTCAAAAACATTTTTACAAAAGGGCTCAGTCTTAGACTTACCAAATTTTCAATCTCATTAAATGCCGGGTCCATTGTTATATCTGCAGTTGACATAATAAAAAAATACTTAAATCAAGTAATAAATTTAAATTAAAAAAAAAGAAATAGCTCCATTCACTATAGAGCCTCAAAAAGAAACCTTCTAGTATACTATGGAAGGGTTCCCCATTTATGAATGTTAAAAAAAACTTGGTCAATAATTTAAAAAACTTACATCCTTATTATATACTTCGAAGATGTGGCATAGGCCTAACTACCGATGGTTCAGGCAGTTCAGTGAACCGGGCCCATTGGTTCAGGGGCCCTAAAGACAACTGGTAGGGCTCATGGGAAAAGATTGTATGTTAAAATAGCCCAAAATTGTACGCTTAGTCCACTATATTAGGGATTGGCAATATGAAAAATAATATTTTAAAACGCTAATATCAAAAAACATTTTAAAGTCAAATTTACCTTGTCTCTCTTTTTATGAAACACCCATTTTGGAAAATCTATGCGTGATCGGCGAGCGTTAAGTGGCTTATTTCTTTTAAATTTCTCTAGGAGGGGGAGCCCCTCCCAACCACCCCCACCCCGGCTAAGGTCTACGTGTACAATTCTTGCCCTGCCTGTCGGTGACGTTGCCCTGTCGTCGGGGAAATCCTATCGCCGCCACTGCTGATAAGGACTATAAGCCGTAGGATCTGTGTAACACTTGGCTCATGTGCGCTTTAAAGAACCCAGTATCATCTTTGGAAAAGAGTAGGGGTTACCCCGGTGTACTGGTCCAAACATTCCCTGTAACCCTGTGGTTATGGACCATAGGTACTTTGCACGATGTACAGTACCTCGTAAACCTAAATAAGTCATTAATGCCTCACTAATTTGGCAATTTAAACGTAATTCAAATCGTACCAGTTGCTATTTACAAGTGCACAGTATTCTATTCTTCCCTATGTACAATTCATAGGAAATGTTTTATTTAATTGCATCTTCTTTACACCAGCTCGTCATTGTTATTCAAATCGTATTATTTGTGTACATTATTCGAGTTTCTTGAACATTATTTATTTAAAAAGATTAAGCTCCTCCGTTACTGAAGTAACATACCTTCCCCTATAAAAATAGGCCTATTCATGAAAGAGAATAACAGGCCTATATGTATCTCTGCACCTAATGCTATAGAGTGGGCACAAAAAAATCACAAAGGTTATACTCTACTGTATCTGCACAAAGACGGTAGTACCATGACACAAAATAATGACCAAATCAAATGTCGTTATTTTAAATAATGTGGATAAGTGTAAATCGAAAACAATAGAACATATTTTTTAAATTTTCTTTCAATGTCGTAACTAGATGAAATCAGATGCTTATTCCCTCAAAAATAAAGTGTAAGAAGCACGAACACATTAAAAATAAGAAAAATGAGAATTATTATGCCTATTAGATTAATTAAATAATGCAATGTTAAAAATGAAAGGGTACAATGTTATGATATACTTTATCTGGACAAAGACGGTAGTACCATGACACAAAATAATGACCAAATCACATGTCGTCATTTCAAATAATGTGAATAAGATAATGTGAAAATGATAGAACATTTGTTTAATTTCTTTTTAATGTCATAAATAGATGAAATCAGATGCTTATTCCTTAAAAAATAAAGTGCAAGAAACACGAAAACATAATATAATACAATAAAAAACTAAAAATTATTAGGCCTTTTAAATAATACATTGTTAAAAATCACAGGGTTCAACGTGCTCTGCATTATCTCTAATAAACCAAGGAGGCATTTTATACTTCCTTGAATAAAGCGAATGATTTAAAAACATAAAAAGAATTTAAATCATTCGCCGTAATATCAGTATCTTCAACATTTGATGCAATTTTAATGTAACTGGAAACTTTAAAATTGCATCAAATGTTGAAGATACTGATATTACGGCGAATGATTTAAATTCTTTTTATGTTAGGTTCGATAAGTGGGATTTTTCGGAGTTTCGAAACATTCAGAAGGAAAGACTCACAGGTTCAATAACAGAAGAAAATAATATTTCAATTAACATAAGTGATGTTGAGAAGGCATTTAGAAATCTTAAGTCTAAGAAAGCCGCAGGGCCTGATCTTATTTCAGGAAAAGTTTTGAAGACATGTTATTTTCAATTAAAGTTTACTTTTCATTTTTTATTTCAATGGTCAGTCGATTTGTGTCGAGCACCCGAACTTTGGAAGTCTGCCATTATCAAACCGATACCAAAACATGATAAACCTAACATCTGTAATGACTATAGGCCAGTGGCATTAACTGCAATTCCAATGAAATGCTTGGAAAAAATCATGAAAAATGCATTAAATTGTCAGACAAATAATGTGATTGATAGTTATCAATTTGCTTATCGGGAAAAAAGGGGAGTAGTTGATGCAGTTACGACGCTCACGCAAAGGGTGTATGCTCATCTCGAATATCCTAATAACTATGCTAGAATATTATTTTTAGATTTCTCGGCAGCATTTAATACCATTCAGCCCCATCTACTTACTGAGAAGCTAATAAATATAGGAATAAACCCACGACTTAACCTCTGGATCTCGGATTTCTTATATGAAAGAACACAGATTGTTAAATTCAGGGGTAGTGTATCTGAGTCGTTGACTTGTAGCACGGGGGCACCACACGGGTGTTTTTTGTCGCCCTGGCGCTTTTCGGTATACTCTTCTGATTTTTGTAGTAATATTGATCCAAGTAAATCATTTAATATTATGTTTGCTGATGATACTTGCCTGATTGGTTTGATTTCAAAAAATGACACATCCTTGTTTTATGACTATGTTGAATCTTTTATTGTTTGGTGTAAGGAGCATTTTCTTGAACTAAATGCAAAGAAGACTAAGGAAGTTATTGTCGATTTCAGAAGAAAAAATAAAGCTAATCATGAAAATATTGTAATCGATAATGAGAGGGTGGAAATTGTTGAAAAACACAAGTATCTTGGACTGGTTATTGATAATGAACTTAACTGGGAAAGCAACACTAAAGAAATCCGTACCAAGGCAAATAAAGAATGTATTTTGTATATAGAATTAAACGGTTTAATGTTAGCTCTCATCTTATTCATATGTTTTATTCCTCGGTTGTCCAGTCAATTCTTTCTTATTGTATTATTATTTGGTTCTCTCATATCACCGCAGACAGTAAATGTCAATTATTGAGAGTTGTAAATAAGGCTGGAAGAGTGATTGGAGCCGACGTTAAGTCCTTCTTAATGATTTTTTACTTAAGAAATTTAATTCAATTATGCAAGATTCATCCCATCCATTATTTTCAGACATTATCATAAATAGATCGGGAAGGGTTAGACATAAGCAAAACAAAGCATCCACAAACCGTTTTAAAAATTCAGCATTGTACATCGCTTGTAATCTATTTAATCAAAATTTCAGAAGATAACTGCACAGGACTCAAATTTTTATTTTCTAGAAATCTTTATTTAACACTCTATATGTTTATGAACGATTCTATGTCATGTACAACAAATATCTCAGAATGTATTATTTTGACAATAAAGTTGACTTGTATCTTGTATCTTGTATCTAAAGCTATTGGTTGCCTTTTGAATTCAGCATACAAGTGAATAACATATTGCTGGTACGTCCTGAGCATTAATGACATTAATTTTTGATGGTCTATAGATGAAAGCTTAAATTCACTTCAATTGTATCAAAGTTTTAATGATGTGCTGTGTTTGATGGTGAGTCTTTAACCGCCTACTTTATTAGCAGTTCCAAATTCTTGGTTTATTTATGGCGGACAGGTATTCCTCTATGGACAAATCTACCAGGTATTAAAGGTACATACCGTATTTAATAGAGCAAAAAGAATCAGGGGCGATTTTTTTTTAAAGGTGGGGTGGAGGTCCAATGTTAGAGGCTCAATGTTAGAATGAGGTACTTTCTACCGGGGCCCAGCTCAGGTCCATCGCGGAAACAGTTTGTTTTACCTAGATGCCCAGAATAAATATGAAATAATCTTGATAATGATGGTGATGATAATGACAGTATGATGATGACGGTGATGATGACGATAACGATTAATTAAATGATCATGAGGACGACGACATTGATGACGGATGGTATTGATGTTGACATAGGCGGTGGTAGGCCCCTATGTTTTGAGATGGTAATGCAAACTATAGGGCCGGCGAAACGTTTTTCAAAGTGGGTGGGGGGGGGGGGGGGGGCACACTAATATGATGAATTATAGGCTATCTTTCCGATCATACAAAAATCTGCATAGACATTATATATTTTCCCCCTGTCATGAACTAATGCGAAGTGAGTCCAGGTTGTAAAGGGCGCCCCGGTCAGGGTACAATTTAAAAGGACTCCGGAAAAATTAGCGGTTATGTTATCGATTAGATATAGACTAACTTGAGTGGTTTCTATAATTCTATAAATCTTAAGGCTGTTTATGCTTGCAACGGTAACGATAACAATAAAATGCTAAAATGTAGTTGTTCATATAGAAAAACAAAATAAATTCGATAACAATTTATCGTATATACGATAACAAAATATTTGACAAATCAATTCAAATGACGTCATAATCATGGAAAAACAATAAAATCGTAGTAGTAACAACGATTTTATATTTTCCATAATTAAGACATCATTTGAAAAGACTTGTCAAAATATTTTGCTATCGTATACACAATAAATCGTTATCGAATCTTCCTAGTATGTGAAAACTTCTCTTCTTTTATTTTTTATATGAACAATTGCTTTTTAGTTTTTTATCGTGTTATCGTTGCAAGCATAAACAGGCGTTTTGGGCCTACAATTATTAGTAATGCTTCCAGAGAGAGAAGCGGTCAAGAAGGTCTCAGGAACGCAAGCAGGGACCCATGGTTCTGATGTTCTGTATACGTCCAGGACGAGCAGGGAGCCCAACTTATATTTTTTTTTAATAAGTAAAAGAAAATGCAGAAAGGCAGCAGTTCTCTGCCGAGTGAATACATGCCCCTTATAAGATGACATTACTATCATTGTATACAACTTTGACTGGTCGGTCAAAGTAGGCCTCTATGCGTCAAGGGCGCCGACTAGACTTTACTTTCGAAAGGCCCCACGGAACATGATCTGACTAAGGCGTTGAGCCAGTACATTCTCAATGGCTTTAGCAACCTATGATTATTTTATCAAAACAGATGTCAGCTTTGGAAGTAAAGCTATTGTGAGGTTTTTACCTTCACAGGCATTGACGTTGATTTTAATTGAAAAAAAATAATAATCTTACAAAAAGATCGGTTTTTACCTTCACATGCGTTGATGAGAAACTGTCCTCCAAATAATATATCCCCGCCATGTTCTTCACCAATGCAATAGTATTCCCCTTCATCGATACTATCGTTAAAGTTATAGACGCTAAGTTCAGTAAAGTGGGACTGGTCGTCATCCTCGTTTGTGGTTATTACATTGAATCGGTTGGATTCATCAATGTGCGATGCAGCGGGATATGACCAGGTGATGTTGGTAACGTTTGGTGCATTTGTAAAGTTGCACCGTAGTACAAAGTCGTAACTGGCACTTTCAGATTCGACGAAAGCAATGCATACTAATGGGTAGATTATATAAAACGTTCAGTACTGTAAAATGGTTAAAATGAATTTATGCTGCATTTACTGAATTTGTAAAGTAAGGGTAAATATGGCTTAATCATCAGTAAATAAATGTAGTCTTCGTCATCTCAAAACAGCCTCATGTGAAAAACCGGTTAGAGAAAATGTTTGAAAATTAACAACTGTTTCAAATATGTTTTATGAACAAATAAACAAGCTATTGTAATTAAATTATAAAATTGTTTTAAGAGAAATTTTTTAGGTTTCTGAATTTTGAACAAAATCCTTATCGAACTAATAGAAATTATTCATAGACCCGTTTCCACCATACCACCAAGCGCTCATCAACCGACAAGGGAATTGTAAAGAAAACAAATGTGGATATAGGCCTACCATAGTAAAACACAGAGAAAATATTTGAACTAACGAATCTTACTTTCGGGTTGAAGCGCTGTGGCTATAGTTAAGAACAGCTGTAGAACGGTGCAGATTATTCCAACTCTCATGATAGTAGTCCCCTGATAGTATAAAAAAAAATGGTCATGTTAAGATCTTCTTCATGACTGTTATGGAACAGAACAATAATGATCTAAAATCAAGAAAATAATGCAAAACTAGAAAAAAAAACATTAATTTTCATAGCTCCCTCTCATAAATGAAAATTATTATAGGTGCATGGTTATGACATGGTTAAATATGATAACAGTCAAGCCAATTTATAAAAATAGTTTGATGATCAAGTGCTACATTGCATATACAAAACTCATTAGAGAAGAATCCTTATCCTCGAGTTCACCCGCTTCGTCTAAGATTAATAATAATAATAATAATAATAATAATAATAATAATAATAATAATAATAATAATAATAATAATAATAGTAATAATAACAATAATAATAATAATAATAATAATAATAATAATAATAATAATAATAATAATAATAATAATGATAATAAAATAATAATACATACGGTGGGTTATCTGGAACGTTACAAATAAATTAATTAAATTAGAAAGTGAATATAATTACCATGTTGGATGTTTGCAGATACTCCGGTGTGCAAAATACATTCAGGCCTAGGTCTACCTCGTTTACGGTATAGCACTGACAACTACGAGACCGTGGACAGAACTGAGGTTAATGGAACATTCTGACATTAATATCTAGCCCTCACAGAAAACCAACAAAAGACACCGGTAGAATAAAAGGCCCGTTGCTAAGGAACCGCTGGAAAGCACATACGTAGTTCTAAACAGACAATGCTAAATTTTAATCAATGTGAGACATTTTTATTGATCACGATTTGCAAAGGAGTTTCATATTTCTTGAATCAATTATAGTTTGTATTTTAGTATTCCATAATAGGCCAACTAATCTTATTTTTCGAAAATAATTATGATAATTAAATTACCTTTCATTTCACATGCAGTAGGCTATTAAAACGACATAGACCTAATGAAATTGATCAAACCAATAGTGAGCGCGCGACGACAAGCGTACACAAGCTATTATTTTCTATTTGACCTTCGTGGAACATCATTATTACTCGTGTTTACTAACATATAACTCATCATATATTTCTGGATCCACTTTATGTATACTCACGTACTTATCTTCTAGGCTTGATTACATATTTGCTAATTATGGCATATAATTTTCACCCACCAATCTCCTTAATGATACTGCTCGTGTTGCCATTTAATTTTGATACACAATAGGCCTTTTCATTGATTACTTATAACTATTGATTATCTTTTAAAATACATTGCCTTAGGCATAAGGCGAGGGCTGGGGGATGCATCTGCCAATTGTTTTATACTTTCAATCGAGAGTTCGTTGTTGGAGATCGACGATCTCACTTAGTAGCAGCGGCTTGTGTCTTTGGTGGAGAACCTTAGGAGGCGTATAGATGGGTAACACCTGGAAACATATACTAAGTCAGAACTTGGTGAAAGTTTTATATAAGAAAATCATTTCAATTGCTTTAAAATGGATACTAATCAACTTTTTTTTTAAAATAAGGTAAATGCTTACCCATTATAATGACAATATATAATGGGTATCCAAATGTTAGGAATAGCGAATTTCTAAATTATGCCGATAATATTTTCAGTTCTTACATTTAGATTGTTTCAGCTCCCAGAAAATAATAACACAAAACAATACTTCATCTTGTGCTTCCTTAAAATAAGATTTCTTCAGAATCTCCATTTTAACTTAAAGCTTGGTTTCTATACAATCGCTACATGCTATCGCCGACAGCTTTCGGTGATGCTCAGTGGCGTATCTACGTT